ACCCTGCCCGGGTCCTGCTGCTGCTCCTCGCCAGGTTTGTTTGGCGGGATGTAGCCTCCTGCTGCCGGTAGCACCCATGCAGTGCCTGACCTGGGCTCTGGTGGCCTGGGCAGCGCATGGGGACCACCTGTGACACTGAGCTCCTGGGAAGGGCTGATGAGGGGTGGGAGGGGGGGAAGTATGGCAAAACTCGCTTTGCTGGAAACACTTCAGGAAGCTGTTGGTCGTGGAGAGCTCTGGGAGGTCCATGGGAGCATCTTTGACTGCTCTGGTGCCAAGAGCTCTGTGCGGTGCTGCCGTCGCCATGGCTGTGGCCCTGCCACGGCATCCAGGGAGCAAGGCCACTCTGGGCAATGGCATGCCTGGGGCTGAACCCACATCCCCAGCATGGAGCAACTCTCTGGGCCGTGGGTGCCTGCAGTGGGGTCGGGGTGCATAGCACCAGGGGTGCCGGGACAGTGGGTGCTCTGGCTGTGCACCCCAGCCAGGGCTGAGCCAATTGCCTGCTGCACGCCTGAGCCGATTATGGCTCTGATAATAGCCCAGCGGATTAAAGAGCTGTGCTCGCTGTCGCTTTGCACCTTTATCCTCCTCTTCATCAAAGAGGCCATGGGGCGCAGGGCCACCGCCTGCTCAGGGCAGGGGCCCTATGGCCCGGGAGAGCCCCCTGCCACCATGCCCCTTGAGCAGTCTGTAGTACCTGTCCCTGTGAGGAGGCCAAGGGGTTTGGCCTGACACACACACACACCCCCACCCAGGGAGAGGGGATGGTGCGGGGGTGCCTGGGGCTTAGCAGGGCTCCTAAGGGTGAGACGACTAGAGGGGGCTCCCGGGGGGAAAGGGCAGCTGAGGCTGCAGGGGAAGGGTCCCTGAAGGGCAAGGGGGAAGGGTGTGGGGAGGGATTTTGCAGACAGGCTGGCAGCTTGAAGGGGAGGCAGAGGGGGTGGTGGGACCAGATCTTTTGCCCAGCTGCTGGGAGCAATGTTTGGGGCGCACAGACCCACCTTGCTGGGGCCTGTGGGGTCCCTGCCAAGGCCACCCTATGCAGAGGCGAGTAGCAGAGCCCACTGGCACGTCCTCCCCCGTTTTCCTGACAGCAGCAGGAGGTGTAGTGCTAAATGTCGGCGTAAACAACCTCCGCCGTGGCATGGCCACCCCGGCTTTTGTCCGGTGGCCATTCCCAGCCCTCTGCAGCACCTGCCAAGGTGGAAGCAGCCCAAGGGCGACATGGCTGTGCAGGCAGGCCCTGCTACTGCCAAGTGGGGCAGTCGGCCCTGCTCCCCAGGGAAGGTGCTGAGCCCATGGTGGGGGTGAACGCTGCATGGGCGGGTGGCCCGGGGACACGGCTGCTCCGGAGCCAGCAGTGCTGGCCATGACAGCCGCTTCTGGGTGTGCAGGTCGTGTGCGGATTGAGGAAGGTGCCTCACTGCGCATCGACCTCCTACGTGCTGAGGACCAAGGCTGGTACGAGTGCCGCGTGCTCTTCCTTGACCGGCACAGCACTGACGCTGACTTCCAGAACGGCACCTGGATTCACCTCACCGTCAACGGTACCGGTTGATCCCACCCTTGGTCGCTGCTCTGCCCAGCACCATCCAAGATCTCTCAGGACTGGGACTGGATCCACTGGTCTTTCAAGACCAGTTGAGCCGGACCTGGGAGTGAGATTCTGGACTTGTCTTTACAGCACCACCCACCTTCCTGGAGACCCCTCCTGCATTCGTGGAGGTGCGGGACCGGGACAGGCTGAGCCTTACCTGCACGGCTGTTGGCAACCCCCAGCCTGTTGTCATCTGGAAGCGGAGCGACCTGGCTGTCCAGAGCGGGGACACAGTGCAGGTGAGGATGGCAAACCACCGGTTACCCTCCCTGTGGTGTGTCCCCCACCTCAGCCAGGGTCTCATGAGTCAGCAATGCAACTTTGCTTGGCTGGAGAGTGGGTGCCTGTTCCCACCGTGGTGGCACCAGCCCTGCCCACAGCACCACGTTCCTGAGAGTGTCCTGTCCCTTGGTGGCTGTGCCATGTGCGCGGTGCCATTGCAGGTGAGGAACGGGACACTGAGCATCGCCGTCGTGGAGCGTGCCAGCGCAGGCACCTACACCTGCCATGCTTCCAGCAAGGAGGGCACTATCACCCACACCACCCGTGTGCTTGTGCAGGGTAAGAGCCGGTGCTCTCCCAGCCCTGGCCACATGGGGCACCCCACTGGGTGCTGCCACAGGACACAGAGGAAGCCACATCACAGGGGTTGGTTTTGGGGCAGATGCGGGTATGACAGGCTTTGGGAGCAGCTGGGGCTGTCCCCTGTCCTCAGCCCATACTGATGTCTCTGTCCCATGCTGCAGGGCCACCTGTCATCGTGGTGCCACCCCAGAACGTCACCGTCAACATCTCCCAAGATGCCTTTCTGGCGTGCCAGGCTGAGGCGTACCCAGGAAACCTCACCTACACCTGGTTCCAGGGCAGCAGCAATGTCTTCCATCTCAGGTACAGCGGGGATGGGGATGGCACCAAGGCGGCCATGGGCTGCTGCTGGCGGGGCTGGGGCCAGCAGCCTGCTGTGGATCTGAGAGCAATGGGCTGGCTGGTGCATGGCAGGGGGGTTTGCTTATTCCATGGCAGTGGGGATGGTCCCAGCTGCACCACTCACCACTGCCCTCCCCTTCCCTTGCAGCCGCCTCCAGGCTCGGGTCCGCGTCCTGGTGGACGGGAGTCTCTTGCTCCAGCGAACGACCCCGGACGACGCTGGCAAATACACTTGCATCCCCAGCAACGGGCTGTGGAAGCCGCCTTCTGCCTCGGCCTTTGTCACAGTGCTTTGTAAGAGCCCCACAGCCCCTCCGGAGCCCGGGCCACACTGTCACTGGCTCTACTCACGGAAAGGCCCTTCTGGACCTTACCCGTGGTGGTATGGAGGTCCCCCTGCCGCTGCCACAGGGACTCCCGTCCCCTGCTGCCCTTGCACAGACCCTGGCACCCTATTTGTCCTCACAGATCCAGCACAGGTGACCACCATGCTCCCAGAGACCCACCTGCCCAAGGGGATGCAGGGTGTGATCCGCTGCCCCACTAGAGCCAACCCCCCTCTGCTCTCCGTCAGCTGGACAAGGGACGGGCACCTGCTGGAGCTGGACAAGGTACCGCCACTTGCACCTGCCCTGCCTTCCCACCCCCTGAGCCCCTCATCCTGACCCCATGCCCCCCTGCCCCAGCTCCCTGGCTGGGCTGTGAGACCGGACGGCTCTATTGTCATCACGACG